AAATGAGAATGGATTAATGGCTTTTCGTCCAGTAAGAGGACCAGAGTTGACCAGAACTCACAGAGTAACACGGCTGGCTTTTGCTCGAGAACACAGCCATTGAACTATGGACGAATGGAGTGCTGTACTTTTTACAGATGAGTCAAGATTTGCTCTTCAATCTCCAGACGGGCGTGAAAGGGTGTGGAGAAGAAGAAACAAGATATACAATCTGTAATTTTTCCCAGAGCCAACCTTTCCAACGTAGTTCCTTAATGGGTAACAAGTGGATGGAATTTTTTGCCTGTCAGTGTAGTTCCCTGAATTCATCAGTACATTCTTTAAAGTAAAAATTCCATAACAGTGGAGCAGATGGAAACCAGAGAGAACAACAATAATATTTGTACCGCTGCTCAAATGCGTTGAGTTGCTAAATCACACGGCATGCTTATCAGCTTATATAAAAAAAACAAAAAAAAAACGAGATTTACGTGGGACAAAAAACAAAAGAGCTGTTTGTTTCCCAAGAGATCCCTAATCATTATTAACAAATTTTCAAGAAACGCGAAAAATTGTATTTTCTATTCCAGTTGTTACTTCAAAACCAAAATTAAAAAAAAAAAAAAAAAAAAAAAAACATCAAAAAATTCTTTATTTGTCGAACATATTTCATAAAAATACTGATTATTCCAGTAGTAATTAAAAACCATTGAAATTTGAACAGGTTTCCTTTTGGAAAGAATTAAGACCCGCTTTTGGAACAAAAAAGGTTGATTGAAGTTAGTTTGGGATAGAGAAAAAGGTGTGTGATTCGAGAAGAGGGGAAAGAGGAGGAAGTTATAGAAATTTTACCATAAAAATTAATTTTTTTTTACTTTAATGGTACTATAAAATATATTTATTTTCAAATTCCATTTGAATGAAATAGTTAAAAAAGCTTTTCATGACTTTTTTTCTAAGAATACTTAACAAATATAAAATAAGTTTGATGACATTTCTAGAAAAATAGGCCGGTTTCTGGAATAAATGTATTTTCACACCACGTTTTAAATATTAAGACCAGTTTTTTATAATAATTGCATGGAAAAATTAATAAAAAAATAATTGCAACAACAGATTCATTGAGTGTTTTTACATATGAATCGATATTTATCTCAATTTTCATAAAAATCTGTTATGGTTCACTTTGGAAATAAACAACTCAAGTGATAAAAGATAGATGTGACTGTTAAATTAAATCAATAAAAATAGATTTTTTTTATCTTTACGTTATATTGCGTTGTAACGCATCAAGTAAATGTGTTGTCGAGAAAATATGAAGTAAACAAATAAAGTAAGTATAGGTAATAGAAACTAATTGCAATGATTTTAATAGTAATTTGGGTGGTAAGTAAATTTTTTTTTATCATCCCCTTCCTCGCCTTTTAGGCTATATAGGGTTTTCCTCGGTCAGGGGTGAGAGCGGAGAATTAATGTCAGGGTTAAAAGCCTCTTGGCACCGGGACACGAACTCGTAATTATTTTATCAAATTATCTTTCATCAGGTTGCAGAGCAACGCGGTGCTGTGCACATGCGTCAGCCCGCTCGGCCACTCCACTCTCTGTGGGAGGTAGGTATCAGGAAACAAGTATACCAATAAGAATAAGAATAATAACCATTACCTAATCAACTTTTGAGAGGTGGGTGGGGTATAGACTTTCCTGTATAATGAGAGACCTGTGCACGCAGATGGAATTTCAAGTAAAGTCACATTTTGTGTTATCACGAAAAACTTCATATATTTCACCAAAAGGATTGCTATGAAATTCCATTGGTGGTAAAACAACCTTTAAAAATGGATTTAAAACTAATTAAAACTTCAGTATCTCATTAAAGAAGAACAAAAAAAAATTAAAGGTTAGTTTGCAACCTTTTAACAGTATCATGTTACAGGTAACAGGTACGCCACTATCGATTATCCCACATCAGTTACCATCCAAATGTAAAAGTTTAAATTTAACCTCAAAGTGTATTGATAATTTCATAATTACTTTAAGTCATCTAACTGTCGAAGCAATTCCATGTGTTTCTTAGTTTTTTTTTTTTTTTGTATTTCTCAGTTTTATTTTTCAAAAAATGTCCTTCAGCCTCTATATTGGAACATACCAATCTACGGCATTGGTAGTAACAAAAAAAAAATTATTTCCAAAACTGAGGGCAGTCGTCCTATGGAAGCGACAACGCGAGCCTAATCCGTAGCGCTACATCAAGCTACAAGAAGCTTATTCCAGCGACTCTTCGTGAATTAAAAATTCATAAAAAAATGAAGGGAATCATATATTTGAAATTTAATATTGATTAAAGCTTGATATGTATATGATTTTTTTTTTTTGGTCTTAAAAACGATTCATGTTAATCTATCTTGGATGAATTGCCTAATTTTCATATTTCCTTTATTTGATTAGGAAAAATTATACTTTGCAATTATCACTTTTTAGAATTTTCTTTTCGAACAGAAATATAGATAATTTGATCCATCGGTTTTATTAAAGAACGGAAAGCATTATTATTCTAAAAATGCTCTGTGATGTGTTATCTAAACGCATTCGACAGAATTGGGGAAAATTTTTATGATTAGACGCCGCAGCTGGGTTAGACACTAATAATAGAGACCGCAATATTTCTTTCATATTTTACTGCTGTTATTTTTATTTGTAAGTAAATGCAGATTACAAATATAAATTCAACTTAATTTCATTATTTTTCATAACCTAAATAATAATTAATTCTAGCGCTAAATTGATGAATCACACGCAAAAGCTAACGGAGACGATATGCCTCCTCGAGGTCGCAGATTTCCCACATATGTTCTACGGCATTATAAATTGTTGTTAATAGCCTTTATAGGCCTTATGGTCAATAAGTAACAAGGAGTACTAACAAGTAATCTATTAATATAAAGAGTATTAAAGGCATTTAGGATTCGCAACAAGTATTAATAAAGAAAATAAAGGCTTGGCCTCCGCCTGTTTACAGAACGACTGGCCGGCTGGGGGTTCGGAGGGAGGAACCACTCGGGAAGGAAACGATCGGGCCATTGTGAAGACTATACAGCACGGGACTAATTGCTGCCTCTTTGTCCCTGCGAAAAACCCTTTTTTATTATTCAGGCATAGAGTGGTCTCTTAGTTTGAGATGGCTCCAAAATGATATACATCTCTCCTAGTCACAGTTATCCTCTAAGTTGCATTAGAGCAATTATTTTCCAGCTACTTCTTAATAAGAACCACTTTTCTAGGCCTATTGTTCTTAGAACCATTATGAAATACAACATATAATAATCTGTAGAAAAATAAAAATGTTAACATTCTTATTACAATTTTCTTTTATTTCGGTGTCGTATTATATTTCATGAACCAACAGTATACCAGTAACGTTTTCACTTCCAAACCCTATCTTGAAAGGACGACTTTTCGGCTTATCGAGACTTTTTAAGTCCTATTTTACTACATTTCTTATGTAAAAACACGTGTCTTCTATTAACAACTAGTTTTCAAAATCGTGTTATCTCTTTACACATCCTTTTATGTATCAGCTCCCATATTATCAGTTCTTAGTAGCAATGGAACTGATAATATGGGAGCTGACAATTTTATAAGTGACTGTAGATAAAACCTCCTTATAAATAATATCTACTGCTCAAAAATGAATATGGGTATTTCTATTTGATTCGTTTTAATTAAAATACTCTACTATTTTTTTTTTTTTTTTTTTTTTGGCATTTTAGAGATTCTCCTATTAATTCTTAAACTCTTATTAATTCTTAACCAATTTTTTATTCTTTATTTTAAATAAATTATCAAGTAAAGGATAGTCAATGTGAAGAATACTCATTGTGTAGACCAACAGTTATTTTCAACTTTTCTCAATTTTAATTCAGTAATATTATCTTAAGAATGAGCGGTCAAGTTAACCGAAAAGTGGATATCTGTTGGCGTCTCCCAGATTGTGTCTCCGAAGCTTTAGCCAGATTCACTAGCGGATCCAGGATTTAATTTTGGGGGAGGCTTCAGCCCGAAAGCTTTTTTTTTCATGAAAATAACGATAATTACTTAGCAAAAAAAGAAATAAACTAACTGCCATATGAAATGGTGTTTAAGTGATTCCTAAAGTTCTTTTAAATGTGATTACATGAACAATAATACTTTAAGAAATAATTTTTAAATATTTTTTCCACAAAACATGGTTACATTTTACCATTTTGGGGGGCTTCAACCCGAACGCCTCTCTCCCACCCCGTAGATCCACCCATGGATAGCAATAGGAGACCTGTTAGTGGTTCTCAATGCATTACGGCACCAAGAGATGACAAAAATATCTTTATACTGCATGAAGCAATCTTTTTCATAGTGCCCGACAGAGCCAAAATGAAGTGTCGAATGTCCTACCCAAGGGCCATATCAACTCAAACCCACGCCCCAACATGCTCGGCCATTCGGAACTGATATATACTGTATACATGTCCGCTGTGCCGGCCTAAGGCATTCGACGTCCCCTGGGCAATGACGTCACCTCTCCCTCCGCCCTTAAAAAATTAAATTTATTTTCTAAGCAGTTTTATACTATTGCAACATTTGAATTTTATTTCATTCAATATTTCTGTAATACAGTTGCTTTGTTGCGCCACCAACGGGCGCCCCTATAGCCACCACCGTATGCTTAAATGTAGGCGTGAGAAATGATACCAACACCAATAGTTTTTTATGTTTCCGTTACATATCAATTAATGAGAACTTCTACTTGTATTTAATTAGTGATATGTAATTAAATAACGATCCTTGGGAGCTCTGTGGATAATCGGCGTTAGAACCGACTATTTAACAACGCATTTGAATATAAAGGAAAATATAGTCCTTTCTGGAAAGGATTTAGACAGAAAAAGTTTAGTACATATTTCATCTTTGAAAAATAATAGCACTAAAAGTTATTGAATCGATTTTGGATATCGCATAGGGCTGAAGGTAGATGGTATTAACGTTGAATGAAGCACAACAGAGCAAACAAGCGGTCGGATCAACTTTGCCAAGACATAATGACTAATGAAGATGCAAAATCAATAGGCTTCCTCGACCATGTTCGTCATTGTGATGTTGCAAAGCTGCTGATCAACCACACAGTCATGGGTTCGAATCCTACGGTTCTAGTAGTATTCAACACCATCCTTAAGAGTGGTTTTATTTTTTATGTATCAAATAATGGCAAACATTGTGCAATCTCCACTGAAAATTCTGTTTGAAATTTACATACACTCCAAATGGTTCAAGTTTTCTGTCAAGAATGTGATAGATTTTCAACGAGATGTAGTATTTGTTATTTTTGGCACTACAGCTCCATCCTTTACAACCATAAGCTTAGTCTAAATGGAAAAACAAACCTTTTATGTTGATATGATGACAAAATTTGTGATTAACTATTGCACTTATTAAATATCAAAGAAGATAGATTTCATATATTGTCCAAGTTTTATTTTATTTAGAAACTAAATTATTGTATTAGTGTTTAAACTTGACTTTTGTGAGGTACTTGTACTTCTTCTTCATCCACGCATTTGTCTTTTAACATGGGGGTGCTTCTACCCATCGGTCTCATGCGTTTCTGTCCCTGGCAAGGTTTCTTATTTCTCCAACCCTATCCCTTCCAAGTGGGTGAAATAGGAGGTTCTTGGCCGTCCTCTTAGTTTTTTTCCCAACGGCCTGACTTCCATATTTTTTGGGTTCCTTTGATCATCCCATCTGAGGGCATCCCCTTGCCGAACCCCACTGCTCACTTTCAACTCATCAGAGGCATCAGAACCAACGCGTATTCTACATTTCGAGCTGTCCATGGTCATCTTGATTAGGCGTATGGGCTTCTGAGGGATGATTAGCTCCTCCAAGGCATAGTATAGTTGTGTTCTTTTTTTTTTTTTTTTTTTTTGTTCCTTCCCTTCCTCGCCGTTAAGGCTATACGGGATTTTCCCGGGCCAGGGGGTGTGGGCGGGGATTTAAAAGACTCCCCCGGCACCGGGATGCGAACTCGTGATTTTTTATATCTTTAATTCATATGTCAGGTTGCCAGGCAACGGCGGTGCAGTGCACACGCTTTAGCCCATTCGGCTACCCCGCCCACTTATAGTTGTGTTCTATCAACGCTGTCGTATGTTCCCTTAAAGTCCACGAATAAATGGTGGGTGACTACCTTATGCTCCATGCTCTTTTCTAGGATCATCCTGAGGGAGAACAGTTGATCAGTGGTTGAGCGTCCTCGTCGAAATCCAGCCTGATATTTCCCCAGTTCCTTTTCAGAATACGGGAGGATCCTCTCAAAAAGAATGTTATATAGCAGCTTATAAGCACACGAAAGGAGTGAGATTCCTCTATAGTTGGACAGATAATGGCTGTTGCCCATTTCGTAGGCAAAACTTCCCTCTCCCAGTTGTTCAGCATTAAGTCATGCAGAGCTTTCTTGAGTTCTTTACACCACATTTCAACAGCCCTGACTGGATTCCGTCTGGGCCTGGCGCTTTTCCATTTTCCTCGATAGCCAAATCTATCTTTATTCAGGAAGGAAATGGTTCGGGGGGGGCGGTCATAAATAGGCTAAATAGTGGTAAAACTATTTTATTAAAAGCCAACGTTTCGAACCGACTTTCAGGTCTTCTTCAGGGATATGTGTTCAACTAGGAGTTTCACTTACAACAAGAGTGAGTTCTAACTCCTAGGCTGAACACACCTCCCTGAAGCAGACCTGCAAAGTCGGGTCGAAACGTTGGCTTTTAATAAAATGATTTTACCAGAAAATAAAATGTATATCTATAGAGAGTAAACCGAAAAAGATATTGCTCAAAATGTCTCCCTTTTGCCTTGGCACAGAGCATTAATCTCCGTGGCGAGTCATCAATAGGAGCATGCAGTACTTCTTGAGGAAAGCGCTCAACTGCTCCGATCAGAGATTGTTTGAGGCTTTCCATGTTAGGGGGTGCTCTGCGGCATGCCATCCCTCCAGTCAGGACCAAAGCCGATAATCTAGATATGAATTCTGAAATGTTCTTTTGTAGCCATTGCAGAGTTGTCCTGGCCTTGTGAGCTAGCTATTCGGTTTTCTTTATCACTCCACTACATGTTAACTGAGCGAAAGAAAAATACAAACTGATTGTGTTTTTAAAAACCCAACATGTGAAGAAAATATCCTGATAGAGATAAGGATTATCTAAATAATACCGAAGGATGTAAACTTAGTTCAACTTTTGTAACAGTATTTATGACAGAACTAGATAGTTACACTAAGTACACAATTTTCTGATTTCATAGAGGGAAAATTCATCAAATTTCTTAATTGTTTGAGGTTATGAAATGTTCCGCAATGACTTTTTGAAACAAACCGAAGATATATTAGCAGCCTATTACATTCTTCCACCTCGACTAATTTCCTTTCATCATGAAAATTAAATTATTATTTCGAATGGCCGTTCGCTATTATTTTCAGACAAGATGATCCCTTAAATCTAATTGAATGTACGGCGCTCAAGTTGAGTACGGTTTACGTATTTTTGTGGTATTCCGTCTCCTCCAAACTATGCCGATGCATATTCTGCCATATAGACGGACTGTGGAACTTTTATCAATTAGAGAACAAACTCATCATACTTGGAAATTGACTAAGTTCTGGGCTATATGTCAAGACCGAGTGGTTAGTTAATTAGATTCTACGTATATCGGCAGCTCATTAGATCTGGAGGGAAGCAAATTATTCTCGGAGACCACACGATAGAACTTTATAAGTTGTGGTTTCATTATTTCCAAAGTAATTCCATTCACTATCAGATTGATCGATTCCTATTGATTTTTCTTTATTAATCTTTTCATAGACGAAGATCTTATTTTATCTTGTTCATAGTCAGTAAATCAAAATAAAACGATTATTTCCATAGTTTCTAGTATCTCAAAACCTTTTGCAGAATTTTAATATACAAAACTAATAAGTTATAAGTTTTAACTAATTTATTTATTGTTTAAACAACAATGAGTGATGTAATAAAATGATCAGGAGAGACCAATCGTTCCCCCAAGGCCGAAAGTGCATGAACCTCTCCCTTTCTCTCACGATATTTTATTGCTCTTTTCTTCTTAAAAATTGTGCAAACGAAAGTAGAATTACAAAAATCTGAGATCATAAACAGTGGCCAGCAAAGGCGCACCATTAGGAAATTAATAAAGAACAATAAAAACTTTTTTTTTTTAAATCAAACACCTCATTATAACTTCAACATATCTCTTATCGATTGCCTCAAAATAAAATTGCCTAAAATAAATATACTTATATTGAAAACAATTTAAAGTATAAAATAACATTTTTAACGCAGCAAAATATTATTCAGTTGTTTGGTATATTCAATTGTTTGAAGAATGGAGATGCCCTTTCAATCAACTTCAAAGTTGATTTAATCGTGTGCTAAATGGTACTCAAAAGCATTAATTTAAAATTTTGAGTAAAAAAAAATAGACCAATCACTGTATAATATATCTATGCATGAAAACTTTTGTTGCATTTAAATTTTTATTTTATACTTATTAAATAATAATAAAGTAAATAAATATTGTCTTAAAATTATATAAATTGAGCCCCACAAATGTTTTAGAAACTTGCGTAAAACATTGCAAAAAATAATTTCCCGTATGCGCGCTTCATTATTATTTTACCAAGAAAATCATAATTAGGTGAAAGGGTTTAATAAGTTATTTCCTTGAAATTATTTATTTTATTAATTAATTAAAAATACCCTTGGAAAATTTGAATATTTAATTATTAATTAAATCTTAATTGATATATTTCACTCATTCTAGTACTCTAATACTATTTGACTCCATTTTTATGTACAGCCGCTAAACCTTTACGTTCTAGTAGTTAAAATGACAGAAGTGCCAATATAACATTCTTAAGGGAAGGTATCGCCTAGATGAATTTTATTTCACCTTATAAAAACTAGGACTCAAAGAAGACAGTGAAATATATTAGGACAATCTAGAAGACCTATCTCTCCAGCTTCCTCTCTACATTAGACGTTCGATCAGACGTTTCTTAAATTAAAGAGAACTTTTAAATTAGAACCAAATACCGTGGAATTATTAGAAAGGTAAGTCCACTCGTGGCATTATATAAACTCTGTCTTTGGCTGCAAAAGAAACGAAAAACGGTATAGTACGTGGTACAGGCCCCTTTTTATGAAATTATTAACATCCGGCTAAAATTTTGTTAACAGCTACAACTTTTTTATTTACGAAATTTCTCGTAAATGAGGTGTTTTCGATCTGGACATCGGCAATTTTTGTCTATTTAATAATGTAATGAAAACGCATGAACGCCCATTCGCTTTGCATCTGAATCTTATAATAATTTGATCACAAAATCGAGAAACAAATGTGGCCTACAAAATTCCTGGCCTGATTGGCGTGATCTCTTCCCCCAACATGTCAAAATAAAGAGGTTATACGTGCTAAACGGTTCAATATTTTTGTAGACCACCTTTTTTATCGATTTTGTGACCAATTTACAACTCAAATTTTTTTGTTTCTATTTATTTATTGAATATTACAACATTCTGTTACTTGTACATTAGTTATAGTGAGGTAAGATCACATTCACACTAACTGTACAAATAAATATTTTAAAAAAACAGAAGCAAAATAACAAATAAATAATAATCAAAAAGTATATACAATAAATAAAATAAAATAATTTAAAAATAAGGAAATTAAAAAAAGCAAGAACCACATACATACCTATATACACTATTTACAATCAGACGAGGGAACTCCGAGGCAGGCTTGCCCCTCCAACTATAGAGGGAAAAGCCGGACTCCAGGAGAACCCTGCGCTACTCTCTCAACCGCATCAATGGTACTAAAGCCAGCAAAAATTGAACGATTCGAACGGAAAGAGAATGGGTATTAACAAATATATAATGTTAAGCTGTATTTTTTTAACCACATTTATTTTCATTTTTATTACAGCCTTACGTCATATAGTTAAACATGATTTCACCTAAAATGTAAACATACATGGTATTAAAATGTTTTTATTAATCCTTTATTAATATTAATTAATTTAATGATAAAACGCCCCATTTCTAAGAATTATCCTAGATAAAAAATCTGTAGGTAACGACAAGATAAAGCCATTCACGACGTTTTAGGCAGATGTTAATAATTTGATAAAAAGGGTCCATAACTTTTTAATAGGTATTTACCTTTTTAGTAGGTATAGTCTAGTACAAAATTGTTTACGGTTAATTTCTAATAACATTTTTATGATACTTGATATGAAGTTTAATCAACAGAAAGACATACACGACATTCCTATTAAGAAGTTTAAAATTCGCGATTTAAAAAAAAAAACTATACCATGATATTCTACAATATTACAAAATTAAAATATAACTATATTATCATTATTCAATATAATTTAATTACGACTCAATTTTAATATGAATTATAGATATAAAAAGTTTCATAAACATGGTTAATTTGTTTTTGTGATGTCGCAGGGTTCGTCTGGAAGAAATGCCTGGAGGGCGGTCGTTGGGAAGGAGAGGGAGAAGTGGGCTGGACCAACTACACAACCTGTTATGGCCCAGAGATGCTTCAACTTTATCGGAAATTGTATTCTGGGTCATCACCTGAGGTAAATATGAATAATTCAAACCCTTTTAGAGCCAATGTCGTTTAGAAAGAAACGAGAAAGAAAATACAAAGAGCGTAGCTAAATGTCCACAGAATCGGCAAAAAGTGAAAAAGGCTATACCATTGTAAGTGAGTATATATATATATATATATATATATATATATATATATATATATATATATATATATATATACTCTATATATTTCTTTGAGTATATATATATATATATATATATACTCAAAGAAATTCTGTTCATATAAGAAAATAAACTGATTAACTCATGAAGCATCCTCAGGACATTGTTTAATAAATATATTTGTTTAACTAGCAGAGTTTTCATAAAATAAATATTTGAAACTCATCTCATCTAAGACGGAAGGGGTTAATTAAATAAAAAATAAAAATTGGATTTAAAAAAAATCTAATCTAAATATCAAAATAATTATTACATACAAGAAAATTGACTGGATATGAGAAAATAGACGTAATACGATTTGTTTTCGGAATCTCAAGGGATACGCATATTACCCAGTATTACACTGAGTTGAGGTGGCTCTATCCATCCTATCGCCGTCAGTACTTCCTAGCCACCTTTCTGTACCAAGTTATTAGAACTCATCGACCATCCTATATTTTTCACAGCTTACAATTCAAATACTCCATCCAATCCCGTCCCACTAGATCTCGTACTTCCGACCTCTATCCTCCTCCTCACCGAACTGCTGCATTTGACAAATCCTTTGCAATACAAGCCGCCTCCCTCTGGAATTCCATCCCTGCTGATATTCGACAAGCTCGATCAGTTTCTTCTTCCAAACCTCTCCTCTTTAAACACCTACTCCTTTCTCAATCTACCTCAATTTATTTAGGTTATTTTAGTTTCTCATATATATGTACAATTTTCTTGTTCTTTTCTTTCTCTTCTTCAGTATTATTATTTTTAGTCAATTCTTATTGTAAATATATAATCTAATTGTAACCACACAGACATACAATCTGTATTTATAATTTGTTCTAAAGGGACAACAGTCCCAGATTTTAATATTTTTTTTTTTTTTGATTTTTCATTCATTTCATTTAATACCATAAATATGGACCTTAAAAATGCTAAAACTAACTATTTTAAATATGCGAAAAAATTCTACTCCGGGCAATATACTGTATTAGTATATATAGTAGACTCTAAATATAAGGAAATTAAACAAAAGGATTTAAAGCATTTTTTGATAGATTATAATTTGAGTGGACAGGTCGAGGATTGGATTTAGATTTCATGATTGAGACATGGGACTATTATAGAGGGATGAGATACCCTTACTCACTACGATTTGAAATGTTTCAGACTGTTTTGAGGTCCAGTATGTCTTGTCATCTTTCCTTGTTAAGCTAACAGAAATGCTACAAATGTCAGAGGCAGAGGACCAATTAACATTGTGTCTGGGCTCTTCCTAACTTGTGCTTCAGTTATTGGATTAGAAGGCAATGTCTATTCTGTGGAACCACAAACGTCCGAGTCCAGCCAACCATACACTGTTCTGATTCTATGTTATCCTCAAGCTAAAGAATTATGTATTGCATTTTGCAGGAATAAAGAATTGGTTTTCCATCCCCCAAGGGTCGATGATGGATAATCCCATTTCGCTCCAAAAATATCACTGCTCTCTCTTCTTAAAAACAGAGAAAGCAAAAATAGAATTGGAACAATTATAGATGGTATACAATTACTCTTGGTGTGCCTGTTTGAAAGTTCCTTTAAATTTAACGCCACAAAAATCTAAAAATTCTTCCAAAAATGTGCTCACCTCACCAATTCCAAACCCCATAAAAATTTTGATGGAGCAGCTTGCGGAACACACAGAGGCAAATGAGGAAAAAATCCAAATCCAATGTCCATAGCTGGAGTTAATTTTTATTACGTTTTATTCTTGAATAGTCAAAGAATAAAACCCGATTAGCTTGTTCCGTACAACATTTCTTTACAAGCTGAAATTACAATTTTTGTTGTAAGATTACTGCACATTTTTGTAATATTATTTTAAGCTTGTTACAGCACATTTGACTGATGGGTGTTTTACATCCTTTATGTGGATATATAGACATACCACTTTATAACAGCAGCCGCATAATTGAAACCATTAAATAAGAGAAAATCTGTCACAATGAAAAATTAATTTGAAGCAAGATTATAGAAAAGGGCTTATCCCAGCTTAAGATGGCTGCGATTGATCAAGGCCCGGGATGCACCAGAGAATGTATCCCTATAATTTCGTTTGTCTTTTATTGCCTGTCGAGTAGTTATTGTCATTTAAGTGAACATTTTCGCCAACAAGTTAAAAAGCAAGGTTACAGAAAAACAATATTTTGAAGCAAAAGTATAGAAAAAGGCTTATCTCAGCTTAAGATGGCAGCAATTGATCTAGGTTCGGGATGCCTCAGAGAATATACTCCTATAATTTCATTTGCCTTTTATTATCTATTGGGTAGTTATGTTCATTTATGTGAATATTTTTGCATAAAAATTCAAACGCAAATTATGCTATACGAAAAACTTATCATTTTCATACAGTAAGAACTATTTTATATTTATTTTCGAAAATTAAGTTAATGATACAATAATTAATACATATGAAAAGTATTAATTCCCAAAGGCCTGATAAAGAGACGTTTCATTGACGAAGGCCATTGAGAGTTTCATTATTTGTTGACAAGAATTAATACTTTCTTGTTTGGTGGTAGCAAATTGTAATGGTATCGCTCAATCTCTTCAGTCTCGTTTTAAGTTTTGGAAGATATAGATATATTGTCTACTAATGAAGATATGTTCCACAGGATTTTAGTATCATCTGACCCATTTATTTCTAGTTTGAGACCTGTACAAAACAAAAAATATTTTCCAGAAAGTGCAGAAGCCTTAGAATTATTGATTTAATCACTTTATAGTTTTATAATTATTAATACCAATTTTTATATTTCGTATGCAATAAATTTAATATTTGACTACGTTATGTGTACATAATAAATAACTTGTTTTTACTAGATATCATTGTTTTTATAAATTGAACTGATTGAAACCTAAGCACTAATATTCGCTGGTATCTATTAGTGTTGCCCAAAATCGGAATTGGTCTTGCACTTTGCAAGACCAAGACCGCCTAACTGTTGCAAGACCAAGACCAGGACTGGTAAAAAAAATCGATGTTTTTAATAAAAAATTAAGGCAAAATAGTTACTAATACTCGACAATCTTAGTTACTATATGTAAATAATTGGTATAACCAATATAGTTTTGCATTTAATTCCTCTAATTATTCATTCAGGCTTAGTTAGGTTTCTCCTACCTACAAAACACAGTACTGTAAGACTGTTGCGAGACTCTTGTGACCAAACTGAGTTTGCAAGACCAAAACTCCCCTGGGTCTCGCATTTGGGCAACACTAGTATCTATGCACTTATAAAATTGCAATAAAATTTTAAGCTTTTTGTCTTATCTCATTAAATTAATTACTTAAGTATTAAATAATCAAGCATTAATTATATTAATATGATATGATTTGTGTATCTAATATTTTCAGATGAAAATTTCAATAGCACAACGGACAAGAACACTGGAGATAGTTGGCTTCAGTGTTTCTCTAGCGGCTCTCATTGTGTCACTCGCCATTTTCTCCCACTTCAGGTATACAAATATACAAATATAAAAATATAGTTGTTTATATATAATGATTAGTTATTCAGTGATCATCTATCTAGAAATATTCAATAAATATCCAGTGTAATTTCATCATACAATGACAATTAAAATATTTTATTGGCAAAATAGGACTTGCTTTTACAAGTCTTAAAGCCAAAAAAGAACAAGAAAAAAACAATAAATATATATATATATATGAACTTTGACATCTTAGGTGAGAGTACAGTTTCAGATTTCTAATTTTTATACAAGATGAATAACAAACACTAGTTGGCCCGTGCGAATGATCCGCAGACAATTTTGTTTAGTGATGAAATAGCAAAACGATATGTAAATAAGTAGTTCCTATTTATTATGTGAGGAAAGAATTAATAGTTTTTCCCTGGCCGATTACAATATTCCATTAAACATAGTCAATAGACAAAAATATTTGTACAAATTATTTTGCTAAAACGTATTTTTAAACGCTGACTTTCATTAACGTTGTCGTATTTAGTTTTATAATTTCCTTATCTTCGCTTAACAGGACCAGATCATCCGCATAGCTTAAGTGGCTTAAGTTTCTTTTTCATGATGTATTTTTACATAAAATAATATATTCAGTAATTTAAGATAAAAAATAATATACTTAATATCGTCTGGAATATTATGTGAACTATATTATTTTTTAAGATTAAAAAAAGATTTATTGCTTAAAGCTATATTAATTCATAAAAATTATAAAACTAAAAGGGAAGGTAAGTAAAAGGTGTTTCAAATGATCCTATACGGTAGAGGCAAAAAATAAATAAATAATGCCTACAAATAAGATAATTAAATAAATGTGTGATAGTTCTTTGAGATTTGAAAAATAACTTTTAGTTTTTACTTTTTCAGAGTTTTAAGAAACAATAGGACTAAAATCCATAAGAACCTATTCATCGCAATGGTGGCCCAAGTAGTGATACGCCTTACACTCTATATTGATCAAGCTATTATCAGATCGAAAACAACCAAAACGCAGGGAATTGATAATACAGTGAGTGTAAATTAATTACTTTGTTTCCTTTTCTTGTAAATAATTGTGACTAATTCATTTATTAATTTAATTATTTTTTAAAAATACCGTAAGATCACAACATAAAATCTTTTTTTCCAACACCAAAATGACTCAAAGAAATTGAGTAAAACAATTTTCAAAACTATATCAGCATTACTTTATGTTAAGGATGAAGAATTGTCAGGATGTGGAGTAAAAATTTATTGCGTTTTCTGATAGCTCTGGAACAAAATCAACCTGATCGCAGGCGAAGTTTTGAATGTAAATTACGAAAGTGTATGTTATTCTAAGTAAAATGAACATTGTCCTCCATTCCAGAGCCGCTGCTTTCACAAATGGTGGCTGATTTAAAGAATATAAGCCAGTAACTTGAGGATCGAAACAGGAAATTCATTGCGAAAAAGATTTTAATTTCAATATATGGGTTTAGACATGCACAAAACACAATTTCTAACGCGGACCACCAAGAGAAAACTTTTTACAGCCAAAAAAGCCAGATTGTTTCAGTTTTTTCACCATAGCTTCTAAGCGATGCATCGAAGCAAAAAATATACTCGTTCAGAAATTACAAAACATTCTTAATAATTTGGTTATGTGTAGTGTTGCCCAAAATCGGTCTTGCACTTTGCAAGACCAAGACCAAGGCCGCCTAACTGTTGCAATAACAAGACCAGGACTGGTAAAAAAAATGGATTTTTTAAATAAAAATTAAGGCAATATAGTTACTTATACTTGACAACCTTAGTTGCTATATGTTAATAAATGGTGTAAACAATATCCTTTTGCATTCAATTCCTCAAAATTACTGTAACATCTCTATAGTAATAATCTCATAAGTAACTGCAAGACTGTTGCAAGACTCTTGCGCAAGACCAAGACAACGACCAAGACTGAGTTTGCAAGACCAAAACTCGTCTTGGTCTCGCATTTGGGCAACACTAGTTATGTGGTATGGTAGGAAACCACTGTCAACTAACGCTGATTTTTACAAAATTTGTCAAAAACTGAGTATTAACGATAAGTATTACATAGGTACGGAAGTTTCAAAATGGAGTAGGTGCTGTAATTAGAGTTGTTTGAAGAAATTTATGGATGAGGATTGCCGTATGGTGATAGGTAAAGAATTCCAGAAGGAGGTAGAACGAATATAGTTTTATGAGAAGGGATGTATAAATCAATAGGTTAAGATCTGGTATTAAGAGAGTACAGAGAGGAATGTAGAGTGTGAGGAGTTCCATGTTAAAAGGAAGATTTTTGCTTCTTAGGACTTGAAAAAAGAAAACACCAAGAAGGAATTGTCGTCGGAAAGGAGGATAGAGCCACTTCAACTCGGTATACCAGAAGGAAACATGAGAACGCTTGGGGATCCCGAAGATGAATATTATAAAACATTTCATAAGTCTCATCACTTTCACCTCCAGTCTTTCAGAAAGCCCTTCATACACTAAGCAACCATAGTCGAAGTGGGAGAAAACGAGGAAGGTTGCGAGGAGCTGTCTGTTTTTTTTGAGGAATACAATCCCGGAATCTTAGGAGTTGTTTAAGGACAGATATGGATTTTCTGGTAATCTGGGAAATATGGTTATTCCAGGAAAGCTTATGATCAAAGATAATTCCTAGATTTTTGACTGTTGGGAAAAAATAGATGGGGTGGTTATTGAGGTAGAGTAGAGGAGAGTAAGGAAGGGAACAGATGAGAATAGCCTTAGTTTTATCTGCATTCAGCTTTAGCTCATTTATTTCTGCATATCTGTAGATGTAGTCAATATCCTCGTGTAGCTTTTGGATCCTCTTGTAGCCTCAGGCATCTCGAAGGGTGAAAAGATTGGTAAATTTGGAAATCATCGGCATATAGGTGGTACTATTAAAACAACTTGTTTTACTTCAACAAAATTTCTCGAAATTTGCCATAACTTATATTCTGCCGCCCGCGCCAAGTGTTCTCTTCTCATATATATATAAATGGTTTCTAAAATTTCCAGGAGGGATATAGGTAAAAATACAGCTATTTCAGATTAAAATACATCCAGTAATATAAATCTCCTCAAAGTAATTTGAATTCATGAAACATTATTAAGTCAAATACAATAGTATACCGAGAGCTCATTGGTACAGATATTGGTGGGGGGAAATAGTCTGACGAGTGAGCCCATTGGTCCATCTCTGCTAGACCATCATGGCTTCCCAGATGTTGCCGCCCAGACCAAAACGGAGTGGGAGCCAAAATTGATTCCTGTGAACCACCAGGGAATAAATATTACCTAACTGACTCAGGTGGGAATCGAATTCACCCCGCTACAAACCAAGCCCTCTGGCCCCCTCGAAATTACAGTCTCACCTTGCAATACCACTCGTAAGCAATCATAAATTACACAACAAAATTTAATCTAGTTATATACAACATAAATGTGACTGATGTGTGTAACGTCACAAGATAAAATTGGAAAGAAGTTGAGAGAATGAAAGATTGACACTGACGTGAAAATACCAGATAATAATCTATAACTTAAACAAATTTATTTAGTATGACTTAACCACTAAGACTTCTTAGTTTAATTAAAAAAGTTATACGTAAAGCCAAAATATGTAAGTATTTTTTTTTTAATTCCAGCCAATTCTTTGCGAAGCATCGTATGTCCTATTAGAATATGCCAGAACTGCTATGTTTATGTGGATGTTCATTGAGGGTCTGTACCTACACAACGTGGTCACAGGTAAGGTCCAAAATATTCATCATTATTTAATAAAATATTAGATTTTATCGCAAAGAGTGAATAAATATCTTATGTAAAAAAAAATCTAAAGAGACACTCATAAAAAACAAATAGTTTTCTAATAATTAATTCAAAATAGATTAATGATCTATAAAATAATAGATAACGTTTATTCATAAAAAAAAAATTATATGATACAATCCATAACCAGGATTGTTACGAGTACACCAAGATAAAGAGGGCGTTATAAACCAAGAACAAAACCATAAAAAGAGTATAATATTTTTGAAAACTTAGCTCATTCTATCAGGATTTCCAATTTATGATTCAATCCTTTCTATTTTTGTTTAGACCTTCAAATATAAGTAAGTATTATTATTTATAACGTTAGTTCTTTTTGCTGTTGTTAAAAAAAATCAAGACAATTAGAGATTCGAAACTTATCGGCCAATGGCGAAGAGCGGATATATATATATATATATATATATATATATATATATATATATATATATATATATATATATATATATATATATGGTAGGTAAAATAAGCATAATCCGCAAACATGAGAAGTGTGTATGGAGGCGGCTGGAATATTTCACCCTGGAGATCTACATCCCACGCCACGGTCCTGATTATAATCACAGCTTTAATTCGTTACTAAACTTTTTCTACCCCATCACGTCGTTTTATCTTTGTTTTTTTATGAACCTCGTTCCATTTGGTTCCTTCTCCTCTTAATTTTATAAACTGCTGAATACTCTCAGGATCCTATACCAGAACTTTTAAGGCTTTATATATTATTCAGGTTCATGGATCTGTTAAATATAAATAAAATAATCGCATTCCAACTGTTAAAATGTGCAATGACTGGGAGAGGTAGCCGAGCGGGCTAACGCGTTTAGAAAACACGCGTTGTCCGAGAACCTAAGGCACTAAAGATAACGAGTTCGACTATCGGTGCCAAGGGCTTCTAACTCTAACATTTACCTTCCACCCTCTCCCCTGGCCCGAAAAAAAATCTCGTTTACCCGAGAAGGAGAGGTAGTGGAGAAAAAATAAAATTAAAATGTACATGTGATGATTCCCAAAAAACTAATATACGCTTAATAAATCATGCAAATAAACTTCCATAGAACCATGGGCGTAATTTCAGTTTCAGGTGGCAAGAACTAACAGAGGTATGGAAGGAATACGTATCAGATGTAAGAGGTTGTCCAGAGAAATTGTTTTTAAAAGATAACGACAAAATTGTTAATATTTTTTTTAAACATTATATCGATAGCTAACATATCTAACGAGCTTTCATTGTAATTTTAAAAAACAAATGATGAAAAAGTAGAGCGAGATCAAATATTTACAGATTTCTTCACAAAATTCACTCTTCACTCTTCACTCTTTCTTAGATATATATTTTTTCCTCTTGGATTTTGAAAATGATTTCGGCTCAGGCAGGAGTTAATTATTCTAAGTATAATACTTTCATGAATATTGTTCAATTAATCTTTGTCAGTTCCACCGAGAATTTCGCTTATGTGGTTAAATAGATCAAAGATTTTTTTCTTGAAGCCTAACCTCTATCTTCTAGTACAAAACTTAATAACTTGCTAAAGGATTGAAACCCCAAACAGTTGATCTGTTGGATTGAACTGTTCTACAAATTCAAATAGACTTTTTGCCCTTCCTCCAATATGGTGGGAATTGTGTCCTTTCTGAGTGGGCCAGGGTCAGCATTTTCTATTCACTGTTTGGCCGACAGAATAAAAGACAAATACTGTAAAAAAGGACATGGATATTTGTGGATGCAGGTTGATTCCGAAAACAATGACGTTCGCAAAGCTGCAGTGAACAGATAGGGTTATTTTAATTCAACTTATCTGAGTGGGTATATTTGCAGCATAAGCTATGATAAAAATAAAGAAAGGAGCAAACATTCTGTGTCAAGTAATTTGAGGGTAATATTAACTAAACTTCTGATAAAAATAAAGTTACTACTGAAAAATTGTATTCGAACAGTTTCATTCTCCTCTTTTAAGACAACTAACCATTAAATTTGAACTGTTTTTTAATGTAAGATAATTTCGTGTGTTGATTATAAAATTAAAATAAAATTTTTGAGAAACCATATCAAATTTAATTTAGTGTGTATATTAAAAAATAAATTATTTAAACATATTTAGTCAAAGGTTATTACGTAGTATTTTTAGAAACAATATATTGGAACGTTTACTAAATAAATTAGTCAAATTAAATTTGAAATATAACTATAATTTGCTTATGTTGTTTCAATAGATTCATTCAAATTGAAAAAATCAATAGTAAAGATTTGTTAACAAAATCAAATTTCACGTTAAATTATTTTACAGGATCCGTCCTTTCAAATATTAACTGCTCGCTCAATGTTCCCCTTTTGAAAGGGGTTTCGATGAAAGGCTCTAACTGATCCTTTAGAAAATGAAATAACCTCGAATACTACCAAGTTAATGGTAGTATCATTTAACAATATCAGTGTTAGATAATAATAACAAAAACTCTTATTGATTTGGTATAAATAATAATCAGAGCACTGTTATTTAACTATAAAATACACCCTTACCGGAAATAATTCACCAAGAACCGTTACATAACATTATATAACCGGGCTTACATAATATCTACTAATGACTTACGTAATGAGCAAAGGGAGACGAGCTTCTGGCAAACAAAACATTGTTCCAATTGTTTTCAGTAGTATAAAGGTTTCTTATTGAAGAGGAGAATCCGTATAACATCTTAAAGTTTACATAAGAACAATAAAATCTATTCATCTAATTACTTGGCAGTCTCACGATTCAGTTGTCAACGAAATGGATATTATTGAATCAACCAATGTTTAAGTAATATGCAAAAATCACCTCCGACTCACTAAGGTGATAGAGCATTTATAAAACAATAAATGAAGCTAAGATAACTTAAAATCACAACTATAGACTACTGATAGGTGATAGGGTACTTGGAGATCCAAATGATTAATAGATTTATTAGAAGATTCTAGAGCACAGATTTTGAAAAGGAAAGCACAGAATTAGAAATTTGTAAGATTTATAAAAGGAAAGAAAGTTAGGAAAATGATCAATAGAAAGTTTTATTTCTGTCAATCGTCGAATTAAAGTCGTAAGAATTGTAGGTTAAAAAATAATCAGTAATAATAATCAATAATAAAAAAATAACAGATTAGAAGGCATTAGAACACTATTTCATAATAAGGGAAATCATCCCTCTTGCGAAAACTCTGGATCTGTTGGTATTTTTTATTTTTATTTTTTTTTGTATTAGATTAGGTTGAAGCCAGTGTTCGTATACTTTTGATATATATATTAGAGATAGACAGATGAAGCGAAACAAAGAGTCGATTCCTCTGAAAGAATCGTACTCTCTAGTAATTCACATGAAAGAACCACGATTCACATGGAATAGTACTATTAGGTATTATTAAAAATAAAAGTACAAAAGAGAAAAAACAACTCTATAGATATATAAATAAACTAACATACAAACAAATTAAATAAATAATCAAAATAGTGATATAAATAAGTATGAGTTATAAATATTTGAAGTGTGAAATGGTCAATTAAATATTTACATAAAAGAAAAAAAAAAAAAAAACTGTACACATATATAAATAAAACAAACAAAGAGACAACATAAAAAAAAAAAACGCTGCAAATTATTTCACAATGGTTTATTATTTCCAAACAATTGTAAATCTAAAGTAACATTACCTTCCTAATTACCAAAAAAAAATAAAAAAATAAAAAAGGTGATTCCAATTATTGAACTACATTTTTTTTTTTAAATGTTAAAAGAAGATTTCATTTAAAGAAAAAAAGAAGATGAAAAGAATCCATCGAAGAATCGAATTATCACAATGACTGAATTGTTGATAACCGATTCAGTTAAAAGAATCGAATTTCTCATATCTATATATATACTACTGATTTCTATGAGGAACATACTTCATTACAACCAGCTAGGCAAACTAAAGATCTTATCTTTTCGCTCCAAATAATAATGGAGAAAGCTTGGCATCAAAATTGCAATAGAAGCATTTCTACTCTTAAAACCATCATGTAATACAATTTTTCTCAGAACGTGAACACTACTATTCGTGACAGCCAACCGTGTTAAAGTAAGTGTGCTCTTAACATTCTCGTGCCTAGTGATGCCGCACACTAGGGGCGAGCTAACGCTACGCTGGTTGGACATAGGGAGAATAAACAAAAGTTACAATTTAGAACTTTTACTGAATTAGTGACAAACTAATATCGTTTCTCCTTCATGTCCAGTAATTTATAACTTAATTATCGCATTAATAATGCCCTGATGTGAGATAATAAGTGAAAAAATGAAAACCATATTTTCTATATTTAGAGCTGATTTACCGGTATTTTTTGTTCAAACCGAACGGTATGTGTTAGACAGAATTAGTTACTTCTTGTGACAGCTAAAACATCTGTTTTTTAATATAATGCATATATTAACATACTTTAAGTTGTTACGACATTTCAAACAATTGCTAGCAATTTTGGTCTATTTCGCAAATCGCCGGGAATCACACGAAAAAACAGATATACCCCATTGTTAACATAGGTTTGAACTAATAAAAACAGTTTTCAAATCTTGTCCCAACTTATCACCTTGGAAGTTATTGAAGATTTAGCACGTAGAACGTAGAATTTAGAGTGACTTCCATTGCTTTTTATTTATTTTTTTTTTACTAGCGTGTTCGAGTTACTATCAACCCAGGGTCTTGACTAAATAATATCTAATTTACTTTACTGACCAGATTACAAACATATAACGAGTTTAATAGCTAATTTAAAAAAATATATATATATCTTTATTATTACATACGTGTAATTTTATATATTTATATTTTATTATAATATGTCGTAATGAAATAGGTAATAAATTATACAATATCCAAACAATGTAATGTTTACAATACAAACCATAAGTCA